GTCCCCGCAGCAGCAGCGGCGCGACAAGGTTGCACACTTCGGCGTGAGCAACGGCCGTCCGCGTCGACGACGGAGCGTCGGCGATTGGGGCGAACGGGTTGGCCGAAGTGGACGGCAGTGACGCGCCCATGGCCGCGGGGAGAACCACCGAGACGAGCCAATGGGCGAGAGGCGAGAGGACAGCGCCCGACGCGTCACGCAAGTCGGCCAGAGCTTCGCGGACCTCGGGCATGCGACGCTGGACGCCGTCGATGGTGCGCCACGCCTCTGGGATCGGCCGACTCACGTCCGACGTCGTATAAAATTCGCTGTGCGTCGGCGCCGGCAGCAGCGCGTGGGCAAAGTCGTCGAGCACGAGGCGCAGCAGCAGCGGAAACACAAACTCGAACGCGTCGCCGGCCCGTGACGCGGCCGCCGTCACCGAGAAGATGCGCTGCAGGGGCAGCGTGTGCGTCTCGTACGCGTGCTTGGTCGGACTGCGGCGGTTCATGTGCAGCGCGTAGACCGAGAGCAGCGCCGCGCGGGCCCACGCCTTGGGGTGCGTCGACACGTCGAGGGACGCGACGGCGAGGATCGCGTTGTGGACCAGCGGCGCGCGGAGGCTCGGGATGTGCGCCTGCTGCGAGTTCACGTCGACGCTCGCGACCGTGTTCTCGGCCCACTCGAGCATGAGGTTGGGCAGGATCGGGTGCAGAGGCAGCGTCGCCGCTTGCACCTACGCATGGATGGTGAGCGGATCGCGTGGAGAGAACGCGGTACTTGGAGCCAGAGCCAGTCGCCAGGGTTGGCCTTGTGCCGGACGAACGACCGCTCGCAGAGGAGCGAGTACGTCACGCGCAGCGCCATTTCATGCAGCACGTTGTGCGTGCTCGCGTCAATCGTTGGCGGAGTCGCGGTCGCCAAGAGCCCGTGGACCATGACCGCTTCGGTAAAGTCGAGTTTGAGTACATACTAGACGCCGTTGGTTCGCCGTGTTTTTCAGATTCAGATTGAGAGTACCTCGCCAAAGAGTGGGATGCGCTCCACGGGCACGACGACTGCGCAGTCGATGACGTTGCGCAGGAGGTCCACGACCATGCTGGGCTACAGACTATCAACCTACTGGATCGAAATCGTAGCTTCACCTTGGTGTAGAGCAGCAGGGCCATCATCATAAAGGCCGGACCGGAGGCCGCGCGGTCGGCGTCGTAGAGCGCCTTGATGCCGTGGCGCGCTTCCTGCATGAACGGCACATCGTCCGGCGACCCGAGCTTGGAGAGACACGCGAGCACGAGCGTCGCAAAGGCGACGGGGACCACTGCCGTGCCGCGCGGCGATCGCAGCCCTGGAAGCGCCCGTGCGATCACGGTGAGGAGCGCGGTGGCCTCGGTCTCGTGGAGCTGGAGACTGGCGCGACCGAGGAGCCCGCAGTAGCTCCGCAGTAAGGTCTCGAGCACGAAGAGCCCGTGCTCGGGTGCCCATGACGAGAGCGCTTGCAGCAGCGTCGACCGGAGACGCTCGAGGAGCT